GTCCGTATAAAATGTTTATGAATGAGACTATGAAATTTTACTTCCACGATAGTAATCTCAATCTGGCCATAAATTCAACTTCAAGAATTTACTAAATTAATGCTACCAATTTTCGTTGTAATTCTATTAATTAAATCTTCGTAAAAGAATTTATATATTAATTTGGAAGTTTATTATACATTTTCACTTTTCAATAATTGATGAAATTAATTCTACAAAATTTCGCTTTTATTCTAATCAATTCAATTACTCCTAAATTGCTTTAGATAGCAATTTTTATCATATGTCATTTTGTTTGAGATAATAAATATGCCTGCCATTGTCAAGAATTTTTGTGTACAATTAGAAATTATCGCATTTGTTCTAGCCACTGCCTTTACGAATTGAATACAATACAATATTTTGCTTAACACTGCTACCTTGCTTTCTACAGTTTTTTCTACGAATCATACTATACTCAATATTTCCTATTCTGATTATAGTCGAGGGTATTGGCCAGCTATTCTGATAACTGTAAATAAAGTATATTACCAACAAACAGAATCATAGCAGCCTTGCTTTTTCCTTTTACATTAATCTATTTGACTTAATATATTAGTAGATTTATTCTAATTTACGTTGCACATTTATATACCGATAATAAGGATAGAAGTAAATATTATGCAATCAAAGCACGACAATTAGCGTAGATTCTAAATAATCAATGCCTAGAGTTGTTTTTAATGGTTAAATGATCATTGCTCTTCGTATTGATTCTATTTTGAATTCCTTTTGATATCAAATTAACTACATTTTCTTCTATACATCAATTATGTTACGAAATTGTTTTAATGGCTAAATATCCAAGATTTTCTTATTTTATTAATTATGCGAATCCTTTTAAATAATTTAATGTCTAACATTTCTTACTTACATTTATTGCATTGATGATTTTTTAATAATAGCAGAAAATCGGTATAATTTTTCTCACCTTTGTCGATTATATCAATCCCTTGTAGTAGCTAAATTTGCCTTAATTTTTATATTGATCAAAATTTTAAATTTAGATAGCAAAACTTATCGTGTGGGTATGAAAACAATGTCTTCAATGTCAAGAACTCCATAATACCTCATTTAATAAAGTTAAAATATTAATCTCCCTTAATTAGGATCAAACCATACCCTTGAGTAGCAATAATTTATTGGCAATTTCGTAAAACATTTTAATAAAGTAAGATTTTTGTATTAGAAAATAAGGCAATTATTCTTATTTTAATTGCTATAAATTATCTGGCAGTAAGCATAATGTGGCAGACCTATCATCAATAAACGAATAACAAAGTAATCAATTTTCCGATAATCATTTCTACGATTTAATGGATTTTCTCATATTATAACGTCAAGTTATGGGAATGTATGTAATACGCTTGACTAGCAATAGTTAAAGAGTAATACACAAGGTCAAAAAGAATCGATTTCTATCCATTTATTATAAGATAATAACAAAGTAAACAATACTAAGATCTATCTGAAATATCGCAATTATTAGAGCAGGATCGCAAGCGTAAACAGAATTAATAACAGAGAATAATTCTTAATGTCATATTAAGCAATAAAATTCAAGATTTTAAATTTGAAGTTATCTCACAATTTCTTCTAATGCTACTAAAATTGCCTTGTGTGGTACTTTTAAACCTTAATTTCTATTAACTTTGAGAACCTTCTTGCTTTATTAGAATACTTTCTATATTATATCAAATTATCTTACTCTTGATTGGTATGCAATCGAAATGATGGTAGTATTCTTCTTCTTATGAGCAGTTATCGTGTTACCCTTGACTAACGAATTTTAATTAATCCTCTGTGATACAACAATCGATACTGAACTAATAAATTTTATTCCAAGATGCTATAAAATATTTATCTTAAAACTAACTGAAATAGTGTGCATTTTATAATAGAATGGTCATTTTAAATTTACGTTATTATCGATACCCTTGCTACACAGTTCGTAAATAGTTACGCGTAGAAAATTATGATTGAAATTGAGGACTACTAACAGCTACAACACCCCAATTAAAAAATCTGATACTAATCATTATCCCTTAGATTACTCTGTTCTTCACATTTATTTGGTATTTCTCATGAAATCCAATTGTCGAGTGAAACTCTTTGGTAAATTTTGCTGTTTTATTACATAAAAAAGCTTATATCGTATACTGACCATCATGCTCTTATTTTACCATTACATTATTACATAATTTGATAGGTGCACTTACCTTTCAATTAAATTTTTTAAAATTGAATTAAATAAATTATACTAGTACTGTATAAACCAAATTTTAGTTGTTAATAACAGCTGTATAAGTACCTCTTAATACGCAAAATCAATAATACGGCTTTCAATTATTTAGCGAAAGAGTTGACAGTTAATTATTTCCACTACATTATTTTATCATTTTCATCATCATTACTACCTTAAATTATCGCCTATTTCAGGCTATTGGCTATTACCTATTACATAACTATTCTCATTACACAACAAGGAAGTAAATTATGGTAATTGTTAATATTTATAGCAATACTTTGTAATCTATGATCACGCATGGACATTTTTCTCTGATATTATTGAAACAAGAGTGCGCTGAAATCTTCGGAATGGCACAGATGGTAACTATTGATGTGAAAAAATTTAGTTTAGAATGGATTTGCGTTGTTTTGAATACAATTACTTGCATAGATCCTGAGCCTCTGATTGAATTATGATAGAATTAAATAAGACTATAAAGAATCAACCGCTATTTTTTTATTCTATATCAAAAGTTCAATTGATTGTCAAAGTAGACTGTATTTGTTTGCAATAATACGATGGTTGATAAATTTAGTTGCCGTTCCAGAAATATTATCATAATGAATTTACTTACAATTTCAATAATGTGATAGTTATGGGATTTACTTTCTCTTTCATATCGTACTCGAATATGATGTACCTAAGATAAACATGTTTATAATTGATGGACTTTCCTAATTGAAGATTTGCAATGATTATTTTTTATTAAATCATGCATCTTCATTGAACTAGTCAAAATAGTTATAAATCGACATCATTTATAGACTTCATTTACAGCTGTCCGTTTAGCTATGTTAACCAAGGGAATTGTCTTATAATAGAGCCAATATATTGAATTATTGTCTTAATAATCCATTAGCATAGTCTCACCACAGAAACATTAGCGAGTTGGAGTTATTGAAACTCTAAAATGGATATTTTTTATTACGGATAATATGGTAATGATGTACATGCGTTAAAAACATGAAACAATTAGCTCATTAGACACCAGTTAATAACAAATTGAGTATATAATATTCTTGTGAAAATCGAAATTAAAGACGTTACTATGATTAGTATCAGTGTTGTTGTGTAATCATATTCAGATATGCAAGACAGCTGTAAAAAATGTGGAAATAATAATATGATGCATCATTTATTATCAATTCCAATAATATATAATAAAAAGTTTTACTTTTTTATAAGATGTAGTAGATGATTTTATAATGGCAAACTATCAGTTCAATCCGATTAAAATTTATTACATTATCTACTCAAGTAATTGCATAAGATCGAAGAAGATTTTGCAGCAATAATTGAATGAAATAAATAAAACTGTAATGCAATAAGTTATCAGTGATTTTGGAATAGAAATTGAATTTATTGCACCTAGTTTTATAGAGTTTCTTTATCGCATTAAATTTATTTACTGCTCTAAATACTCGATCAATTATTTTTAATTTTCTTTTAATATACCGGCATAATAAGGATTTATTTCCGTAGCAATAAGCAGAAAGAGGATATATTTTATATATACAATCGAACTGGATATTGCCTACGTAAAATTATAATTCGGAGATATTTTATGGAGAATGTGTAATCTATACACGGTTTCCAACAGGATACATCCTCCATTGACGAATTATAGTGTCTATATATAGCTGAATTTTACAACATTTTAAGAGAGCAATCATCAATTAACTTAAATAATAAGTGCGGTAACATCATTTCGTAATTGCATTGCTACATTCTTACTATATCTTACACTTATATAGCCCAATGGAATGGTCTCTTTCGAAAATTAGTGATCGTAATTTGCTTCTCATTATATATTATACTATAGGTAATCCAATATCTTATACTACTATCCTACAAATTTAAATCACAGATTTGATGTAATTGTAATCATTTTGTTTCCGATATGAATATACATAATCGATTATGGACGTTGTAAATGACTTGAATATCAGTGGCATAGGTTAGAGATTCGAAAGATTTCAAATCATTCTTATTTCAACTGGAAATGTAATTCGCCTTAGCTATAGATGATTCATCAAAGTAATACTTATTTCTAGATCCAAAAGACGCTATTGATTTGACATAGTTCAAAAGTAAGTATGAGTTGTCTTCCTATAGAGACAGGTGATTCAGCTAATCTCTAGAAGTTATTCTTGACCAAAAAGTGTTATGGGTGGATATATTGCAATTTCAGTTCGCTTGATTCAACTATGAATGTAATTTACTTTTTCATAAGCATAGTTAATTTCACAGCTTGAGTTGCTGTTCAACTAGTATACATTGCAGACTTAATGGAAACAGTTATTCGCAATATCCTGCTTCAACTATGAAAATGTCTTTGCAGTAATTTAAATACGGATATGAGTATATCTTGCCTTGCTGTTCCGTCGTATTCATTGCGGACTTGATAGAAATAGCAATACGCAATATTCTGCTTAAATTATGAAAATTTCTTTGGCGTTTTATATCTTTCGACGATTCACCAATATGTTGTAATATCGGTCAGTGGTCATCGATTTAGTTCAATTTAAATCATCCAATTTTAAATACGGATAGGATCGATCTCATCTTCTACAAACCACAGTCGATTTATTAATATGTAAGCGTAGGATATTATAGTAATAAGTGTATATTAAAGACTTAGTCTACTTGGAATCGTCCTATTTTGCTCAATTTACAGAATGGATGAGATTTCTTCTAAATGATTAGTATAGGGTGCTACATTATTACTTTTCTTTACTGGAACAGAATCACCAAAACTGATATGTAGATCGACTGGCATTGACCGTTGCTGTAGAATAAAAATTGCGCTGGCTCCTGTTTGGTTATTGCTATTGTTACTGCCATTTTATAGCCCCTTCTCGATAATTTCTAACCTTTTATAATTTAAACTGAATCGTAGCGAATAACAGAAAAAACCGTTTGAAAAATTAATTCTGCAAAACTGCTATTAATCGTTTGTAAGGCGACATCGTAGCCCGAGAAAATTGACAATCCTTTTATCATTATTCAACTTGCTCATTAAAATGCTATGGCATATCGTCCTGAAGAATGGCCTAATAAAAATAATCATGACATATGTATAAGTATAAAACAAATAGGTGTAGCAGTTCAATGATAGAGTGATGGACAAAAATGGAGAGGCTTGATAATTGAATTGGCAAGTTGTTGTAGGATGGAGTGATAGCCAACATTTTACATTTCTTCCAGTACCTCAGCAAAATGAGTACTGCAATGATAAGGTGGATCTTTTTTATCTAAGGGTTGCTCGTTAATGGTTGGCAATATGGTCGACTTCCGATGTTGGTCTCGTTTGTGGCCTTTATTGCTAACTTTGTTATAAGCTGATTTAATCTTGCTAGCGACCAAGCTGCTGCCGTTGACGTAATGGACCGATTTATTGCGATCATGGTGATGAGATGATGATCGATCGCGCAGGCAACTAATTGGCAATTTTTCATTTACCATTTTCACTTTACGTGGTGGTGGACATGTCGAAATATGGTTAGCAGTTTGATGGACATGAGGCAATGAAACGGTTGTTAACGTGATGCTAGGTATATTTGCGTGACTTGAAGGTAGAATTTCAATTTTTTCTGGGTAATCAAATTTAGGCAAAGCACCAAGAGTAGTATTACTTGAGCTGATTTTGTTGTCTTCATGGCTTGTATTATTATGTTTGTGTGTTGTATTTAGGCCGAATGTAATATTGCCTTTTTTAACACCAGTTAATTCGTCAGGCTTCATAATATGCAACATCGTGTGAAATTTCTTAGGAGAATGTTGATCACTTTCAAGACTGTTCAAAGCTGAATAGCGTAGACTATGGCGTGGACTGGTTGTTGCTCCTGGTGGCGTGCGATTCTTACGATTTTTTTTATCCTTAGTGCTTTTCTTGCTGGCAGTTAGTTCAGTTTCTTTGGAATTTTCCCTAAAATTATTTAGTGATCCACGAAATGATGCAATGGTACGGTCAAGAAATTCAATAATATCATCAAATTTACTGTTATTGCTATTATTCATATTGTTAAGTCGAAATATGAATGAATTTCCATTCAATATTGAACTAAATAATGTATATTATGATCTAGCAATACTACGATAGGACAGTTGATCACAAAATAATATATCATATCATGGACTACCAAAGGTAATTCAAGTTAGAATCAAGTTGAAATGTAAGTATGGTGGTAGGCTAAAAATGCTCCATCTATTGCAGATGCTAGGTAATAGTATGACGATATCCTATAATGATTTTTTAAGCAGATTGTTGGCTATTACAACTATTGGAAATTGAAATAAAATTGAATTCACTGGAGGTTAATGAAAGAAAAAAAGAAGTTTGCATCTGTGCCTGCAGTTTATACTGCGTCAAAGCGAGAAATATTGAACTTTGATTAAGTGGAAATAATAACCTTACAGAACTTTGATTAGTCCATTTTCTACCTTATCAGATCTGACGTTGTTGATGAATCATAGCAATACTGTACAGTAGATTGATTCAATTTATTTTTTATATTATTTTCATATAATTTGAAAAAGGATCTTGTGTCTACGTGCGTTTTCATTAATTTTACAGATGTCATCAAGTTATTTTAATGAATTTATCAATCTATAGTTTACCTGTGATGCAATTTCTTGATAGTATTGAATATTTCAACCTCGGTCTTATTAATTTTCTAAGGAAAGCTTGCGATCAGGACGATGAATAACAACAACAACGGTGACAGTGGAATGGATAGAGATCAAAATTGAGGTAGAAGTAAGAGCAATCTACTAAATCTATTTGTTCCAAGAATGCACAAAATAGTGCGAGCACTATTCTAATCAAAGTGAGGAGCAATGCCAGAAATGGTTATTTTGTTGTATTTAAATGATTTGGGAATGCTTGGAAACTAATCAGTATATTATCTAGATTGTATACCAATTGTACGTAACAAAAGTCCGACAGCTATTACATCAAGTTGGCGCTTTAATGCAATCGAATGAAAAGCAATTTATGCCCGTTAAACAAGTCATTGTATTGTATTCAATTTATTGTAAAAGTTCGGTCGAAAATGTCAACATAACCAAGGAAAAATGTTGATTTCTTAGAATAACAGGGTAGAATGAAAAAAAGTAATTACTATTATTCTACCTACTTCTTAATGAGGCTAGTTAGAAACAAAAGCAAGAGGAAACAATCTCGATTCAATTTGTGACCTATTCAGTCCTATACTCTTAGTAGTTGGATTCTCCATTTTTGTCAATATTAATTTGACAATTAATTTATTGGATGAAATAGACCATATCTGCTCATGATTTGTTGAATGTTATCGTTATTAAAAACAAGACGTGATTTTTTATTATTGATTCCTTCTTCGTTATATCTACTCCAATGATTTTACACTAAAGTTAAGATTGAGTAGCAATTCACGATGTGGAAAATGTTTTTACTCTCATCGTAAAGTAGTTTGGCTAATAGGATGGAAGTAAAACTTTCAATTAGAGTGAGAAAAATTTTTTTCAAATTCATTTATTCGTAAGTTAAAAGTTTTTTAATTAAAGTTGTTCAATCACAACTTGAAAAAAATAAAAAATGATAATCCCTTCATTCATCAATAAAGATGAATTTTCATGTAGTTTATAGTTAAGATCAATGAATATTAAAAATACTATTAAATCAATATGTATTGGTATAAATTAATAGATGAAGAAAAGTCCTCTATCCAAACTTCTTGAATATCACTGTTTAGATGGGGAATCCATAAGCTAAATCAATTCAATCCGTATTCAAATTAAACCTCATAAACAACGAAAGAGTAAGCAAAATCTATTGAGAAATGCATCTTTTCAATTTTTTTCGCGAATGATTATTTGCTTAAAAATGACGATTTTTAGCAATAGCGTCAATAAAAACGTCAAGAATAGAGCTCATCCCCAATGATAGTATTATTAAAGAGGAATATTTTAATATTATTGGCTGATTATTTACTTATCTTAGAGGAAGATTATTTACTCATCATGGCAACCTCTTAGTAATAACAGAAGAATAACAATCTATTTCTTTAGTACTGATGTTATTTTACTATACAAGCTAGGAATAACATGACACCTCAAAGTGTAGGCCAGGAAAAATCAAAGTAAAATGCGTAAATAATATTGAAATACCAATTTGGGTGTTTATACTATCGAGAGTAATGCCATAGTAAGAGAACAACTTCAATGATGTTAAACAATATTGTTTTGGAATGCATTAAAATTTGAATTAGTTATTTACTTCTACTGGCCATTTATAAAAGATATTGGTCATAGATATCATTAAAGACTACGAAAGCGATCGGCCCTGTTAGACAACATGGATGTTGGTAGAAATTCAATAGAAAATGAATCCTATTGAATTGTAATTTCAAAATATCGTACAGAAAACGCGTCATCGTCAACTTCAGAATAGATTTAACAGCCTCTAATACAAGGAAGTACTATATTTTTTAAATTGTTTTGTCACGTCTATGTCTTGTAAATCCAATTGATAATGGAAAGAAAAGACATTACAGTAATTGGAAAGGGTTTATTAAAAATTAATTAATTTACTGTATAAAATGATATATAATAGCATAAACGAAGCAAAACCCTGACTATCCTGGTATTTTGGAAGATATGAAAGAGAATCAATGTAGGAGGAAGAAAAGAGGCAAACATGAATGTATATACGTATATATCTTTGATTTATGGAGTTTAATAGAGTGTTTTATTCTTATTATCAAGCAACTTTTTGAATAAATCGTCAGTCAAGAATTAGGTAGAACTTTTGAGTTGCCGATTTTTAATAGAGGTAGATTCTTAGTGTGTCCGTCTATGATCAAATTTGACAGTTCCATTTAGAGAATCGAGATCTAACTGCAGACAATGTCAGCTAATCTTCACGATTTCTCCATTAATGTTGCGCTTTCCTGATCATATCCTTCCTTGACATATTTGAACATCCTTTTCACTTTCAACGGTAATAACTGTAGTATCAGTATGAATATATACCTAATCAACTGCGAAAAATTAATTAAATTTTTACGCTTTTCCATGGCGTTACATTACGTTACGTATAAGTTAGCTCATTGCTATCGGAAATATTGAATTTAAATTGGTCAATACCTTACCAAAATTATGGTATCATTGGGCTGATAGACTGTGTTCACTGCTGCAATTTTAGAAGCAATTATTACTTGTAAACCAGTTTTTTTAAACTTCATTTCAATTAGGCAATAGCATTGTAACGATAGCCTGATGGCTTATATTAATGATTGCAGCAGCTTATAAAATTAGTTAGAACTAAAAGATGGATGAAGAATAATGTATTTAAATCGATTCAGTTACTGTAGAATTTCTTCATAAATTAGATCATGATATGCTGATCGGCTGTATTAAGTGTCGAAATTAATTTTTAAATCAGGCAGAACTAAAAGGTAGACGTTAAATTTATTAAATATTAAATTTTAATCAGTTAATCTTAAGGGAATACTAGGCTAGCTATTAGTTGATGGCTGATGTTTTTGTTGTCTATAATACGTTTTAACTGTAACTTTTTCTGATTAGTCTTAAAAGAAAGATAGACTACTTATTAGCTGTCTGCTGATGTTCTAATAGTTAGCAATAAGTTTAATAATAAATTTCATCAGCTAATCTCAAGGAAAGATGATTTATCAGTTGGCCACTGATATTTTATAGTCAATAATAAATCCATGAGTGAATTTTATCTCTACTTGAACTAAAGGGCCAGTAGTAAATATGTTGTTCATCAAAGAGGCGCTCGTATTCAATATTAAAGTGTACACATACTATGGCGTTCCATACTTCATTCTTATTAGGCACTGCAAACCGTACAATTATTTCCATTTATTAAAATATTTACTATATCAATATATGCTGTATAGACAGGTGTAATCAGTACTATAGTATTTCAGATTAGAAACTTTTCAGTAAACACATTAAATAAAAAAATTATTGTATCTACAGCTTAGAAATTACTCTACCGTAGAAAATATACAGTAAGTCACTAACTTACAGTATCGGGTAGTAAAAATAAAAATTTACCTAGTTATAATAGATGAAAATTAGAATAAACTATTTTTACATGTTTCTGTTAGCATACTTAAAACACAAGACGTGATTGTGTTAGAAAATATCCTATTGCCTATAATATATATATAGTTGTTAATTCATTCGCTGTAAAATCAATTCTTCGGGTTTATAAATGCGTGTGTACATAAATAGTGTTAGACAAGGTTGATAGAATTATTTTAGCATGAAAAAGTCTAATAATGGCATTGTATAACTCGAGCTGGCTTTTATTTACAATACTGTTCGGGTATAGTACTAACTTCCTTATTTATTATGTCCTATTAATGTACTGGTTAAAAATATGAAATTATATTCAGGTCATGATGGCAAAATAGCAATTGATAAAATAACACTCCAGCTTTAAAATCTTTCCATTTTGATCAGGGACTACTAAATCAAATTGATAATATTGAATAGTACCTATAATAGCCTTTCAATCTAAAATAAATAAAATTCTTAGATATTGAGAGCTACCG